CCCCCCCCCCCCCCCCCGCCAAGCCGGGGCCCCGGGGGATGGGGGCAGCGACCGAGGCTGAGCCCCCGGTGCCCACCGTGCAGTCTCCAGAGCTGCCCAGGCTGGCGCGCTCGAGCGGACCTCGAACGCTCCGGGAGAGATCCCGAACTGTAAACTGCCCCATCTCAGGTCCAAAAGAGGAGCGTCCTGTGGTCTCTTTATTGTTGGTCTATTTCAAGAGACGCGCAGGATCTCGATTCCTCTCCTCTTGTCTGTAGGTAGCGCTTGTCGATTGGAATCGTGAAGCAGGTTTAAAGTGTAAAGCTGCCCTGGATGAGCAGTTTGAACCTCAGAAGACTCTCTTCATCCAGTGCGATGTGGCCGATCAGGAACAACTAAGAGGTAAGGGCGGGGAATCCATCCATTCACGAGGAGCGTACCTTGAGTAAGCAGCTACATGAAGGCAACCCCCGGCCAGAGATCCAGCCTGGGGCGGGCGGCCGGCTATCTCCTGGAGAGCAGCTACCTCTGAGCTGCAAGAGATAGCTGGGACTGTTACGTTTCCTCTGACGTCCCAGTAGCCCTAAAAGCTAAGGGGGAAGAAAAGCCAAGCATGCTTGAGAAATCCTTTTATTTCAGTCATTTGGCCGCACAGAATGTAATCAAGATTCCTTGGTGTATTCCAAGACGGTGCTGCTACAGTACTTATTAAATGATTGAACTTGCAGATGGAACTGGGAAAGACAAAGTAGGCTAGGCGAGTATGGCAAACAACTTCTCCCAGAAAGCTGGAAGACACAGAGTCCAATGACAATCAAATGTGGCAGTGTTTCTCTTTGGAACGTACTAGAATGAAAGGTCAAGGGTTGTCATCACAGACGTGCTGGATACTTTTAACCACATGCTCTCTCTGGTGTTTCCCCTATGAAATGATACTTTAAAAACAATAATAGCTGTACTGTAGTCTTAGAATTGCAGAAGAAAAGTTTCTACCAGATTTTCCTCAATGCTTTCCTGTTTCCGTCTACTCACTTAAAATAGACCAATCTAGTTGTGAAATATCAGGGGCCGAATTGGTGTAGACAATTAACAGATTTGGTCATAAAGAAACCCAATAGATCTATATGAAAAAGTACATATTTTTCTGGGGGGAAAATGGGAAAATAAAATATTTGTATTTCACAAGGTTTTTTTGAAAGACTAAGTAAATTATTAGGCACGTCTTTCGTCAAGGGACCAAAAGTACCTTCATAAAAGTCACTCTGGTACTTCTGTTCTTAACGTGGATGTGTGTTTTTTCGAAAATGTTGGGCTGTTCTGTGAGAGAGTGAAAATGGAGCTATATGTTAGAAGGAAACCAACTGCTGTTCAGGGAAATTGTTTTAAAGGAAATTATATAATTAAAATCCGAAAATGTTATGAAGACCTATAACATGGATTACAAGCATGAGTAGAAGAGACCTGTAAACATAGTGCTAGTTGCTGGAGGATAAAGTTTTGCTGATTGCACAGGATAGTTTTCATCAGGGATAAAGTCATGTCAAATCCCAACAGCCGTGCTGATGGAATAGGGAACAGATTCCCTATAGATCATCTGAAAGCTATTTCTGTCTGAATTTATGTAGTTTCACACGTGACATTTAACCTTAATTGTTTTGCTTCCCAGTATTTAAAATTAGTACCTTGACTGTAAACACATTCCTTAAGGATAAGTGATTGTGAAGGAGGAAACCAGACACATAATGAGTGACCAGCAGAAGGCATGTTGGTCGTGAGAAATCCACATGTTGTCTGGACATCAGCGTTTATTTGCAGTTTAGGAAAACATGGCATTGGCTCTTCCAGTGTCAGGATTTAATGCTGCCTACAACTTTTAAAACTGCTTAGACATGTGGCCAAAGAGACTTCATTGAAATCATAAAGATACAGAGGTGAAAAAGTTCTTGGAGATGACTTACAGATGAAAAATGCAACCTGGAGTTTAGGCAAATTACAAAGAGTACCACAGCATATAAATGTCAGCAAGAGTTATCAATAGACTGTAAGTTGCTTGAGCCCAAAATTCAGTGGTGTGTTATAAAGAATACACCGATGTATAATTTGGTGTGTTATACATCAGTAAAGGCAGAGTATAAGGAATACGGTGGACACCGAAAGAGGAAAAAAAAGTAAAGAAGCAATGAGACGTCCATATTTGACAACCTAATTTCCTGTAAGGTGGATGTGGAGTTCTGAAGAGTAGAATATATTTAAGATGAAATGCAAAAATTTACAATAATAATATTCCTTAGATCTTTTCTACTGGAGGACCTTTTCTGGAATCAATTTGAGATCCTAAGAAGCACTTTAAAGATTCTTTGAAAAAGTGAACAGTTTTTATATATTTTGTTGTTTTCCATTCCAGTACAGTAAAAGGTACTGTAAAGGGTACATATTAGAAAGTCTTGGCAATATTTTTGGCAGTTAACTTGCATAGTAATTTATCCATTTGGCAAATTAGTCCATGCCGTCTTCAATATGCCTGGTGGTTGTTAATAATTCTTTAATTTTATTTCAATCAGTATAAAGTTTGTGTGGATCTGTTTTTTTCAAGGAACTCATATGTTGGACCCAAGACCCGAGAACACATTTCTATCATTTGGAAGAATAACCACAATTGTTATCTATAGTTTCAAGTAATAGAGCTAGAACCAGTGGTAAAAGGCCCAGGGAAACAATAGAACTATGTAAAAGGCTACTTTGAGAAATAATGTTTCTCAATACCAAGGGGTAAAGCCTAATTTTAACTGGTCAAGGAGGGTTGGCAAGGACTGGAAATGTGGTTGGACAACGTAATGAGGGACCTTCAAACCTCAGAATCTATGCAGACTTGACCTTAGTTGAACACAGTTGTTATACAAACTTGCAATACAAAGCTGTCAAAATAGAAAAAGAAAAGGCAAACATCGAAGTTACAATAATCAAATAAAATCATCTGAATGAAAAATTGACTTACTAGCATGTCCAAATGCACTGAAATGATAATGGATCTGGATACATAACTGTTTAATATGACACTTTATGAAGAAAATATGGCTTATTTTTAAAGGGATGCTTGTCATAGTCTAAGCCACAGAGCTTCAGTAACTTCTTAGGGACAGAGATGCTGGCTGCCCAGACTGACTTCTAAGAGCTCTTAGCATAGGATGCTCAGCTCTCTAAAATTTACACCAGAGTTACTGCTTACAGAACTTTAATGTGCATACAAATCATCTGAGGATCTTATTAAGGTTAAGATTCCGATTCCATAGGTCTGTGGTGGCCACAGATTCTGCATTCCTAGCAGTATTTCCCAGGTAATACTGATTGATGCTGCTGGCTCACAAACCACACTTGAAAAGCAAGGCAGGAAGTCACAGTCTAAGAGTATAACTTTCACGAGAAGCGTGGATGAATTAAAACCTCATTTCAGGGCATAGACTGTGTGATAAATGTGTCTGTGCAAAATAAGAACGTCTCTATGATGTCTTTTTTCTTTTTTTTTTATTAGATACTTTTAGGAAAGTTGTAGACCACTTTGGAAAACTGGACATTTTGGTGAATAATGCTGGAGTGAATAATGAGAAAAACTGGGAAAAAACTCTGCAAATTAATTTGGTAAGCTGTCTTAGCCATGTTCATGGTCTACAATTACTTAACAAAATGTTTTAAAAGGAAAAAAGGTTTTTTTTCATGGAAACAATACAATGACCTACAATGTAGAAAAAGGGAAGTTATAAAAAGCTGGGGAAAAAAGCATTTCCTTTTACAAATAGGAAGACACTTGAGGTTTTCAATTATGAAAATAAACCTGTCTTAAAATATTAAAAGGAAATATCAGAAAAAAACATCGTTTACTGTATAACTTAGGAGTTGGCAAACTATGGCCCTCAGGCCAAATGAGCCTGCCACCTGCTTTTGTGACCTGCAAGCTAAAAATGGGCTTTACATGTTTTAACAGTTGAAAAAATAAGAAAAAGAAGAAAAAAAAAAGAAATATATGAATATACAAAATTCAAATTTCAGTGTCTATAAAGTTTCATTGGAACACAGCCAAGGTCGTTTATTTACATGTTGTCTCTGGCTACTTTCATGCTACCCTGGTAGAATCGAATAATTGTGACAGAGGCCCTATGATGTGCAATGCCTGAAATGTATACCATCTGACTCTTTATAGAAAAAAAATTTCCAACCCCTGGCTTAACTTATGTGCTTAAAAAATAAATCTTAATTCCAGGACTATAACAGACAACAAGGCTAAAGTGACTGTTGGACTCTGTGTAATTATTAAGATTTTTATCCTGAATGCCGGTGTGTGTGTGCATGCGTGGGTGTGTGCATGAGTCTGTGTAATTCCCACAGTGTTTGATGATTATTTAGCTCTTCCTTGAATTGTAAACATGTAGAATAAGGAAATAAAATTTGTTTTATTCGTTGTATCATAAGCTTGCTGATTATCTTATTTTATAAACAGACTTGACGTAAGATACTGGGGTTTAGTAACAAATGTCAGAGCCGGGCGGGGCATGCGGTGACCCTGTTTTTGGTAAGGTCTTTCTTACTAGTCTCGCAAAGCAGGCACATGTAAAGTACAGAGGGGCAGCTGTGTGTGTATAAATGCACAGGGAGTGGTCCCTACTTCACCACATCCAACTCCTTAAAAACAGGAACCATGTGATGTTTTTCTTTGTTCTTCTCTCAGTAATCAACACAGTATCTTGAAGATAGTGCTTAGTCAATAAGTGTTTGACTTGAATTGACATTCTCATGAGTAATGACTTAACTGTAATAACTTGATAGGAGTAATGAGAATTACCCTAACTCACAAGAAAGCTGAATCTTTGAGTACCACTTTGATAAGGTACAAGCTTGACAGATGCCTAAAATCCTTTGACCCAGAACAAAAGGTACTATTTTAAAGTACAAACACTCTCCTTCCAGTTCTTTCTAAAATTTGTCTCAAGTGTTCCTGGATATCATTATAGTTCAAAATAACTTTAAAACCTATTTGTCAAGTGTCCCTCAAAATCTTTCTGGGGTGTGTGTGTGTGTGTGTGTGTGTGTGTGTGTGTGTGTGACATGACATAATAATATTCCAGAATATTCCAGAAATAATATTTAGAGACATGACAACTGCTGTTCCTGAGTTGAGATAATTCTATGATTTTCTTCTACTTTAGGCTAATAATGTAGTGAAATAAAATGAAACATTTTCATACAGTGAACCTTACTTAACATCTCTTGGCTAAACCTTATTTATCATGGTATATCCATGTCTAAGATACCATTGCATTTGCTTAGTTAATACCTAATTTAATTTTATATTTGTGTCTCTCTGTTATAAATGATAAGAGCTTATAATTTTCTTTTCTTAAAATATTTCTATTTGGTTTGGCTGTCAGCTCTTCCTTTGCTTACTTCTATCTCCTTGATCTGTCCGTTTCTGAATAGCATGTAGTCATATCTCAAATGACAAATGTCAACTTGCCTACCTCTTTCAGTCATTCTGTCAGTGTGAATTCTACATAAATGGCTGGTGATTATAATTTACTGATCTTTGATTTTTTAAAGTTGTAGCCCCATTTGCAACCTGTGATTTTTGATTTGTTTTATATTTCCAGAAATAATATTGGTACCCTATGTTTTCTTTTGATTCACATTTACCTAGGCATATCTTTTTCTATTTCTTTATTTTGAAAATGAAAGTAACCTTTTACGTGAATTTTGTCTCTTGCTAACAGTATAATGTGAGATCTTAGTTTTCAAATCACATCTAGAAACAAATGCTTTTTATATTTGTGAATTTAAGTCACTCATATTTATTTTTACTCTTCTATTAGGACTTATTCCTTCCACTTTAGTTCATACTTTATGTTCACTAAATTTTCTTTCTGTTTATGTTCTTTCTCCATTCTTGTCTTAAATTCCATTGGATCACTTTAATTTTCTTCAGCTGGTAAGAAAACCGTACGTTTTATACGCAATCTTTGGTGGTTATCCCTGACTTATTATGAACCATACTTAATTACATCCTTTGGTTGCCAGATTTAAAATAATTTTTTTTTGGAATATGCAACCAATTGGAAACTGCAGGAATTTTTAAAAACATGTTTTTATAAACTTATGCCCCTCTCCAAAACCACATAAAGTGACAAGACTTTCTTTTTAATCAAGCTATGCTAATGAAAAAGCACAAATCACACAGCAGCTCTCTCCCTAGAACATCACTACTATTTGTAGTTTCATCACTAAAACTACAGATATTTTATAGATAGAGGTCCCTAGGGTATAAAGTTCCTATATTCAGTGCATTCATAATGGGCACCTACTGTGCCTTTCTTCTGAGAAATCCGCTGTCAGAAAACATGTGCAGTGATTAGAGTTAATATAATATAATGAAACATGAAAATAGTGAAGAGATTGTCTCAGAGGTAATAGGATTCGAATTATCTATCTTCATCCAGCAGACAGGGCATGTTTGCCTTAATATAATAAATATACAGGTGAATAAACACCTGCTCCAATGTGGAAAGTTCCTGCATTATCTGCAAATAGAAAATTCTGCAAGAAGGGAATTTTATTTGCCCTGTTTGGTTACAACTCACTCTCCTGGAGCTGGCCTTTATTTTTCTTTGAACTCTGCTGACAAAGGCCACTCCTTAGCTTAACTCCAGGGACTGATGACATTTATTTAATATTACAAAAAAAGAACAAGCTATAACCTTTGTTACCCATATATAACTTAAAAACAAGTTACTTCCCCTCCTACTTACAACACCCATTGCAAAAGTAGATTAGAGTCTGACCAATCATTATCCTTATAACTTGATTTATCTCTGTTAGTATATGCAAATATTTGTGTGTGGTTTGTATAATAATTTTTTTCAACTCTGCTCTGGATGTAATTTACCTCCTTGTACAATTCCCTGTGTGGTCTTTTGCATATTTTTCCGTGTTCTTGTCCATGTCAGAGAGTAACGGCTTAAAGGACCTCACCATGTATCTTTCCCTCTTCTGAAATTTTATACAACATAGTTTATACCATCCTTATAAGGCATGTCAGTTTTTAAATTTTATTAGAATTATTTCTATACATGTATAACTTATGCTAGTCTACTGTAAGTTCTTTGAAGGCAGAAAATTGTTGTTTTGCATACACAGATGTTCAATTAAAGTGTATTAGAAAAATAAACTGCTATTCTATGATATTTTGCATACGTGGATATTCATTTTTGTGTTTCAGTACAATGTTTGGATGGTTTCCTAACACATCAGTGTTGCAAACAGTGTATGACAAACAGTATATATGTCCTTCCACTTTTACTCCTTAGCAAATTTGCCCTTTCTTTATTCTTCAGCCAGCAGCTCCCACCG